TAATTCCCGATGCACCTTCTTGAGTTCGATGTAGGCTGCAAGCAGCCCATGCCTGAACTCATGGCGGCACTCTACAATGACTCAAAGCGCCAGGATATGGTCTATTGTGGACTTACCAGGAGTGAATCCAGATTGCTCTGGCCTCTGGTGCCTCAGCAGTTAGTGTCTGATATGTCTTTGAAGGATGTGAGATGAACTTTCCTGGTATACTGAGCAGTGTGATACCTCGATGATTGCTGCAGTCCCATCGATCCCTGTCTTCCCCTTCCAGAGAGGGATGACTGCACCAGTCAACAGGCCAAATGGCAGCCAGGACAGCATGCAACCCCTGCACCATAGGTTCACCACCAGCCTTTAACAGTTCAGCTGAGATGCCGCTTTACCACTTTTCAGCTTGGAGATCACCTCCCTAACTTCAGTTAGGGAGGGTGGATCTCACTGATGGGTGGTACAACCTGGTACAACTGCTCAAAATACTCTGACCAATGCTCCCACACAGCAACAGGATCTGAGATTATCTGTCCATATACTGAGCAAACTGCAGTCACCTGTGAAGAGGGCTTGGAGTTCAGCTTTCTCAGGGCTTGGTAGGCAGGATGAAGGTCATTTACTAAGAAATGGGCTTTGACCTCCTCTGCATGACTCCTAATAAAATGTTCCTTGTCCCTTCTCAACAGTGACTGAGTTCTGTACATCTGAGAAGAGCGCAAATCCCAATCCCCTGTCAGATTAGCCACATGACAAGCATAGGTAGCTTCCAATGTCTTCTGTGAGATAAAATTCTGTCTTGCTCTTGGGCGTCCACCAAATTGATTCTTGAGTTGCATTGAGTATTTTGCGCTTTGAAGGTATCCCACAAATGTACAGGGTCTGTCAGATTGTTGAGCACTGTCAGATTGTTGAGGCACAACAACTAATCTATGGGCAGTACCACAGAACTTAGTACTCTTACACAGGGCTCTCACAAGCAGAGATAAACATTACCTCAGATGTTGTCGATTTTTACCCTAGATTTCAACAAATTAACTTAGAACTGTAGGAGCATATCCCTGAAAATTACCTTAGTTTTTTTTTTTTTGAAAATGTGATTTTATCTTAACAAATATGCCCTTCTTTGTTCACAATACTTTTAATGACGGTTATGCAACTGAACAGGTCTAGTTTTAGGTAGCAGCCAGCCATAATATGTATGAGATTTTTAAAAATAGATCTGATAGGCTACATCACAACTTAAGCATAAATGGAATCATTAAGAAAATTAATGCCTTTTCCTTCTTCAACATAAATAATACTTATCTTTATAAAATAGAAATAAAAACATTTTCAATTACTAACTACCAGTAAGACTGTCAAATACATATATATATATATATATATATATATATATATATATAGCATATATATAGTAAATATAGAAATAAAAACATTTTCAATTACTAACTACCAGTAAGACTGTCAAAAGTGTTATCACACTAGATCATCAATAATAGTTATCATAACAAGATACAACGAAAAAACAAATTTTCAAATACTAACTGACTGTCAGAGTGTTGAAAGTTGTCATATCAGATCATCAATAATACTTATCATTCATTACTTGTTACAAAGAAATTAGAAGGTTGTCCAAAATGAAGCACGTAAGAGTAGTCGCTGTTCTGTTTCATAGTAGAACAACTTTCCTTTTAAGACCATTTTTGGTATGCAGTCAACTTACCGGACTAGTACTTTTCAAACAACCTGTGATATCAGTTTTAATTCTTCGTAGATGACTAAAGAGCCTTTCTAGAGATGTGTTGGAGTGTGGTAGGGATAATGTTCTACTTTTGAACTGAACTTGTTCTGTATATAAAAATACCTTTTCGGTGCAGAGCATACTGGCATTACTGGGCTTGTTTTTCAGAACCATAAATATTATTAAATTGTGGTTGTTATGTCAGAATTATGTTAAAATTACCTTAAAAATTACATTATTGTAAACGTTACCTTAAAAGTATTTGAATTACCTCAGACCAAGGTAATTACCTTGAAAGTGAGAGCCCTGCTCTTATACACCCTGCAGTTCTGGAGGATCTCCCAGAAATCCTTAATTTCTGGGACCTTGCAAAATCCCAATGACGGAGGCTATTCTCACTGCTAGCATCAGCTCCCGAAGCATGGGGACCGACAGACATCTCATAGCCAGCTCATTCACAGCCAGATACTATATTGAAGTCACCCAGAACAATACGAGTATCTTTCCGAGGACAACTGTCCGACACAGATGCAAGTTTGGCGTAGAACATCTTTCTCACATCGTTTTTACAGACATCGGTAGGAGCGTACACAGAAATAAGAGACATGAAGGCAAATGCTAGATTCAGTCTCAGTACCATTATATGCTCATCAACTGGAGTAACCTCTGCTACCAAGGGCTGGAGTCTGCTG